AACTCTTCCCATGTGTGAATAGATCCCGATGGTAAGTTGAATAACCACTATCTAGCTTTATCTTCCAAGGTGAGCGAGAAGGAGGTTAGCTTAAAATTATCCAATGTCATGTGTTCGGGCAACATGCTAACACATATCATACGAAAGGACTTCAAATGCTTTTATGGATCTTCTGTATCTAAACCATGGAACTTGGTTAGTTGATGTATGAAACTTGACTTCAATTCAATTCCTCAGTGGTTTGCGGGATAAACAATACCAAGTGGTATGTAAGTAACATCCGTCTCCATCATTTGTCTAAGTGCCAACTCTTGAAGGGGACTGGGTGGATTGGGGTTATTGGGGACAAACAATACCAAGTGGTGTGTAAATAAAATAAAATACACTCCATTATTTAACATGAGCTTCTATTCACCGATCCTTGTAACAGATGCAGTTCCTCTGCTCCCCATGATCAAATTCAACTCCCCATGCTTCAACCTTTTACTTTCCTTTGGTTCCTACAAATACGAGTAAATATAAGTATCACATCCAATATCAACAACCCAAGAACTAGAAGTTGACATACTATGAATTTCAATCATAAAAATACCAAACGTGCCAACACCCTTGGCTTTTTTTTTTTTTTCATGTCTTAAAGGAACTTTAGGCAGCTACGTCTCTAATGATTCTTCTCTTGGCAGTAAAATCAAATGACCTCCTTTAGTTCGGTATTAGGAACTATCTCAGAGTTAGCTTTTTCTCTTGAGACCTTGATTGGAAGGTCCAACCTTTTTCTTACCCTTGTGGTAGGGTAAACTTCTTCTTCTTCTTACCATGTCCAATGGTCAAGACATGAGAAGTAGGTTGGAGCCTTTTGCTTTAAGAAAGCTAGCTTTGGCAGTTTTCAACATGCCATGTAGTTCCATGCGGGTAATTTCGAGATTGCTCGTATTATATTTCATGATGAATTGATGATATGAATTAGAAAGCAAGTTTAATACCATGTCAATGGCCAAATCCTTTGGAAACTTAACACCCAAGTTCCATAGTCTGTCAATGTATGAATTCATTTTCCAAACGTGCACACATACAAAATTTCGATCTTGATGTTTGCATGCCATCAAGGACTTCACGATATCGAATCTTTCTTGCTGATCTTTCTCTTGGAACATTTCCTTGAGGTGCTCATTAATGTTATACGCCCCAAGGTTCTCGAAACTCTTTTAGAGCTCATGAGACATAGTTGCCAACATTATGCAAGCAACTTTGGTAGATTTATCGTTATGCTTGTGATAAGCGGACATTTCTACTTTAGTAGACTCATCAACCACATAAGGGAGATCTTCATTGAGGACATACTCTTTGCCCTCATACCTTAGGGAAATCCTCAAGGTATGAATCTAGTCAGATAATTTTGACTGGTCAGATTCTCCTTAAATAGGATCTTGAATAGAGAGAAGTTTGAGTTTGATAGAGGTAGAGGAGGGGGTGCACCTCCTTACACATTTCTTAAAGTATTAGAGTGTGCACCTAATCTTGATTCGATGATAATGTTTCAATTAAAATTTTGAGGACATATGTGGTATGATTGTTATACATACAGTAATTATATCATATACTAAATTTTAACCTTTTAAATTTATATAGTCTTATCTTTATAATTTAATTATCTTAATAAATAAAGTTCAAGATAATTATTCAAGTTTTAAATTCAAGTTTAAATGTTATTCAAATTTTAATTAATTAAATATTTAAATTTAAATTCTTATTAAACAATATTTTAAATTAATCTAAAATTCAAATTATAAGATTTAAACGACTTAAAATAATAATTTAATCAAGAGGATAATCTCCAGCTTTTTTTTAAGAAACAGATAAATCTGAATTCCTGGAAAATCGCCAGACGTGTTGCGTCCATCAAGGAGGCGTGCTGTGTAGGCAACTAGCAGGTTTCTTTGTTTTCTTCAATTTTTACAAATTTTGTGCAATACAACTAAAATCTATTAGGCTCTGATACCACTTTTGGGTTTTATTAGCATCAATACACCTCAAGAAGGTAGTGGACTAATCTAGAGATTTACCAAAGTATACATGGACCTTAGATCTAGGTTTGACTAGTTTTAGCAACATACTTTGAAAAACAACAAAGAAAAATGTACTAACCACTTGGCTTCTTGCTTGAGATCTTGTGATTGATATTTGCTTGAGATCTTGTGTTTTAGTAACATACTTTGAAAAACAACAAAGAAAAATGTACTAACTGCTTGGCTTCTTGCTTGAGATCTTGTGATTGTTAGTTTATGCAAAGGATGAAGGATCCAAAGTATAAACCTCTAATGTAGAATAACCCACGAAATCCAAAAGAAAAAGGAAGAACCCTAGATTAGGGTTTATGCAAAATTTAGTAACCCTAGGAGGGTTATGAATTTCGTAGAGAGAGAGAGAGATAGAGAGAGAGAGAGAAGGAGAGAAATAGAGAGACTATGGACGAGAGATAAGGGAATCAACACCTAAGGTGTGAACCCTATTAGTCTATTTGTAGGCAAATGATGAAACCCTAAAGGATACAAACTCTTAGGGTTTATCCTTATCTTATTTGAAAGTTGGCTTGTCCCTATCTAGGATGCAGTCAAAACTGTCCATATGAAGATCTCTAGGAGCTTTTGAAATATTCAAATTAATCTCTTTGGATTAATTAATATTCAAGCCCTTAAATTAATTAAAATTTTTAATTAATTACGAATAATTTCTAATTAATTTATTAATTCCTTAATAAATTAAGAACTTATTTTCTTCATTTCCTTAATTCTATTTGTGTCATGAGGCCAACCCAAAAGACCTTGTTATTATTAGAAATATTACCAAAATAGATAATGACCTTGAACACCAGTTCCAACAATATGATGACTGAGATCATGTAACTTTATGATGGTTGAGAACCTATCGATGTTGATGACTAAATAACACTTAGTTATTGCTGATGACGGAATGACACTAGAGTCGAGAGTCAATGTTGATCATTGGAAAAACACTATATTTGCGAAGCCTTTGTTTTGTATACATTGCATGTATGGTGGAATATGTGGTATAATGGGAAACTTACAAAGCTTTATGATTATGTTATTAAGTTAAATGTCTTTCAGGTTGACTAGAAGTAAGAGGGAAGGGTGCAGTATGATTGTACATTGCATCGTTGTCACATTGTTATTTAGACTTCCGCTAGGTTAATAATTTAACTCTAGTTTGACTTTATGAATTTTAAACAAATGAATGTTATGATAGGTTTTCAAGGAATGAATTTTGAATGTTTAATACGATTTTAAATGAAATTTTTGGTTTGAAATTTGGTATGTTACATAAGCAGTATGAATAGAACCCAAAATTCCTGAAAACTGAAACTGAGTTTGTTGTCCCAATGGTGCACCTACAAATAAACTAGCACCAGTATAATAGATAGAACTACCCCCCCCCCCCCCCCGAATGGAAGTACCCCGATGATTATTTCAACTTTTATTCCATTTATTTTTCTATTTTCCGGGTTGGGTGGATATAGAATATAGAGTAGATGTAGTGGAGTTTCCCAAGTCGAATGCAGAGTCGGTGTTTTCAAGAGATTCTTAGAGTAGTGGCATATTATTGGTTTCCAATAAAGATGTGAATAGTTTCATATTAGTAACCACATCCATAATATTGTGATATGAGGGTGACAATTAATGGAGGATTTGCATCATGAGTTCAGTTTCTTTAATTGTGGAATCTATATCAGCAAAAGCAGCGCCAATGTTTTTAAGGGCATGACAATATTCTATAATTGAGAAGGCATCTTTGTTGGTATTGCGGAATTGATCTTGAATCATTCTTGATATTTTGTTGTTCAATAAGAACTCATCAAGTTTGTCCAATAAATCCTTTGTATTCTAGTTATCGTTCGAAATAATTTGAAGTAAGTTCAGGCCATTGATGTGTCCAACAACTTTAGCATCTTTGCAAATGTTTAAAAAGATAAGACACCATAACTTGTACTTTGAACCATCAACGGTAAGCTTGAAATTAAATTGTCGTTAAATATTTGTGACTGCATACACTAAATTATGGCCAGCCGCCAGGCGACAAGGAATTGGAGGATTTAGGGGGAGATGTCATGGACCAAAAAAAAACAACAAAATATGTGAAATAAAAAATCAAAAATAAAGGTTGAAACACTAACTGCATGTAGTTAGATCGTAGTAGATGTATTAGAGTAATATGTGAGTCTATGAGAATGCAACACAATAATAAATCTTTGAAGAGATGTGGGTAGGATTGATAGAGATGGGAGCCGAGTACACACAAGAAGATTAGGCTAGAGGGTGTGGTCGCGGTTTGTGCCACCTCAGCCGCGCACACCGCCCCTAGGTTGCGGTTTTGTGTGGTTTTGGCCGTAATACGGTAGATTTTTGCTACACTTTTACTCTATCTCTCCTCTTTTATTTGCTCACTCTCTCTCTCTCTCTCTCTCTCTCTCATCTTTCAACGAATCACTTCTTTTGTTTTTTTCTCTCTCTTTACCATAATCTCACTCCCTTGGTGTGGCATGAAACCACACTTGTGTGGTAAAAAGTGACGTAGTGCATATGTGGTAGTGAAGGGAGTGTGGTTTCGGTGACACCACTCCCTCCAGCCTTAGTTAGTAGAAAAGGTCAACACTGATTATTGTAGCCAATAGAGATGGATGTCGGAAAAGGCAGCGCGACACTGAAAAATGCTAGGGTTGCAGGAAAAAAAGTGTACGTACTGAAAGTACTATGTTATTTTGGGAAAATACTTATTATAGTTTCTTGTATTTTATCTCTTTATATAGTTAATAATATTTACAATAAGAACCTTGCACTATATAAATGTTAAAATAAATATACACATTCTAATAGTAAGCAGTGCAAAACAAATGGATAAAGCCATAAGGAATCACAATGTGCATCACTAAAACAAATTGGATGTTGTAAGGCAATTTATACGATGGCAGTGCCCAAGTCACAAGTTCAATCTTTTTGCGCTTGCTTTCTGTCTTTTATTTTCAAACTAGGTGAATACCTGCACGTTGCGCAAAAAAAAACAACAATAAAGTTGAAATCTTTCCAAATATATGTTTTTCTTTTTTAAAATATAAAAACAACGTTATGATTAAATTTGATATAATAATTTATATATTAAATTGATATAATATATTGACTATTTTGAATTATATGATAATATATACATCTATTGTAGTTTCATTACCTCAATCATTTGAATGACTTCCATCCGCAAGTTACACATAAATAAAATTAAATATAATATATGGTTGAATGTTATTTGTAGTTGCTGTTATTGTTAATTAATTTTCTAAAATTTATTTATTTAATATTTTAATTTCTGTCATTATAATTATTTAAAATATCAAACCTTAACAATTTCTTTCTAGGCTCTTTTTCACTAGCAAATGACCCAAAGACATCATTGTTTAAGACTTCTAAAGGTTCATCTTTAATGTCTTCATGTTCCTCTGTATTATTGTTTGTCGGATCAGGCTGGCCCAAGTCAATGTCTTCATCAAGTACACTATAGAAGTTGATCATGTTCACCTCCACATCATCTATCAAAGGTTCCTCATCAAACACTGTTTTTTTTAATTTTTTTATTATTTTTATTTTTTTATATTTTTTGCACCATGATGACTATCAAATTCACTTTCATCTGCAGTATCCTCATAATCATATTCATCATCTACAACTGGATCATTATTCATAATTGGCTCATCATATTGATCATCTATGATTGCAACATCATTCATAACTGGCACATCATTCATAACTGGTTCATCATTCATAACTGATTCATCATTCAAAACTAGCTCATCAGTCATAACTTGCTCATCATCCATAACTGGCTCACTATCCTATATCACTTGTGAAGGTCCATGAAATGTTCCATATGACACAATAGACTGGGAGTAGTATAATATTTTCCTAGAAGATCCAACAAAATTTCCCTTCTTTTGGTTCCTATCTAGTTTAGGGGATACATCAGTAACCAACTCCTCAATAATAACCTTGGTGGGGGACAAAAAATAACTATTAACCCTTGTATGCCCATGCTCTATGTAGATACTTAAATGGTTATTTTTTCCACATAATTTGACAATACATGCACATCCCCATCATTTCCTAAAGGTAACAGAACACCGTCCAACTCTACTTCTGGAATAAGAAAATGATAATACAAAGTTTGCCCTTCTACGTACCCTATTTCTCGAATCATTGTATCCAACTCATGCACAGAGAAACGTCAATATCTACGAGGTCAACGTAGTCTATTGTTCCATCTACGTACCTTCTCCCAGGGCTTTTCGTGAATATCCCACCATGATGGATTTTCATAGTGACATAGTTGCTTATTCCCTCTGAAAAAAAGAATAACAAAAAAAAATTTCAACCATTTGGGCATAATATCAAATCGACAAAATCAAAGATCACTTTAGTAAGTCACTTACGATATATCCTTTCCAAATCATAGTTTGATGCTTTCATGTGTTTGGAACGAAGTGACCATAACGTTAACACCATTATCATTTTCAATCGGCAGATGATCCTCGCCTTGTGTTCTGTTGGAGAAGACGAAGATGAATGCGAAAAGGTAATGGGTAGCTGGGGAAGATGATATTTGTACTTAATTGCAGAGTTCATGCGTATATTATGTGCATAATGATCGATTATTAGAGTGACTGCAAGATGAAAAGACAAATTTACCCCTTCACTTACAGTTCAAAAGTGACAGGGTTAGGGTCAAGGACCAATCGTGCAATTAAATGAAACCTTAAGGACAATTCGCGTGACTTTTTGCTAGAAAGTCCTCAAAGTGCGATATTGTGTAAACCACATGGACCAATCGTGAAATTTTGTCATATACATACATACATACATACATACATACATACATACATATATATATATACATATATATATATATATATATATATATATATATATATATATATATATATAATGGTGTTAGTATAATTTTAAAAATGTTTCAAAATTTTCGTTTATATTTATACTCATTAATGGATTATAAAATGAAATATTATAAATTATAATATTTCATTTTATAATCCATTAATGAGTATAAATATAAACGAATTATGAAATTAATTTTGAATTATGAATACAAAAATAAAATTAAGCGAACTTAAACATGATAACTAAGATCAAATACTTAATTAGGTTTCCTAATACATAGGCTTTATGACAACTAGACCTAGTTGGGTGCACCTAAGTTTTATTATGGTCATGCTTCATGCATTATCCAACTTAAGAGATGTAGTTGATAAGCTAAAAACTTGGAGATTTAAGGACCGAAAAATAACAAGCACAATCAATATACATGAATACTTGATATATTTTAATTATGAATGTGTGTAATAAATCAATGATATATATATATAATATATATATATATATATATATATATATATATATATGTGTGTGTGTGTGTGTGATACTAATATACTTTAAAGCTATTAATTTAGATGAATGAATTATGGATGATGATTCATCCACTAGCTGACGAGCCAATGTATCCCGTGCTACATGGATCCCTTTACTTCCCAGAGTTTCCGGCCATGTAGAATCCCATTCCTCCAGCAGAAAATGCATCACTACAGCCTGAGAACAACGAACCAAAGGAGGATCCCAAGGAAGAAATAGAGGAAGATAATTTTGAGGAGGAAATGGAAGAAGACTCCAAGGCATATACGGATCAAGACATGGACTCCAAAGAGAGTGTTGAGATCATAAGTGAAGATGAGTCAGTTGGAACACCACCTACCACTCCTAGCTGCACACACATTAAGGCTTCCTTACGTCGCATAAGACTCATTAAGAGGATGTCCATCCCTATTTGGGAACCAACCACCAAAAGGAACTACATGAGGTTCTCTAACCTCTAGGGAAGATACAAAAATCCCGCATGGTTAGGTAACCATGTAGGGATTTATGAAAAGGGGAAAGCTTCGGGGACAACACACCCAACATCCTCGAATATCGATACTCTGTTCTTTTTGTTTGAGTAGAACACCCGCTTGAATGGTTATTTATGACCTATAAGGGATGAACTAAGTAATGTACAAGATGATACTGTATGACTAAAGGAAATGATGTCCCGAGAAGAGTGGTGATACAGGAAAGACCGAATCTCTTAAGACAATATTCAATAAACGATATACTATAATCAAGAAAAAGTGATAGGTTGTGACATGAGGATAGCAGGAGTGGAGAACCGGTGTTAGATCACCCTTTTGTTAGCACACGGGGTGGAAGAAAGATATGTGTCACTGGAGGCATGAGTAGAGGAGATGTCTTGAGCAATGGCCCAATATATGGGGTTCTTTTAGTGGGATGAATGAAAGCATATGTGGCACTTGTGGTGGAAGTGTTTAGGAAAATATGCAACTAACATGCCAATTTTGGGTTGAAATTCAAAGTGAATATGTGATAGGTTTATCTAGGTTAAATTTCGGGCCCGCGGGCATTGTAAAATTCGTATGTTACGACTTTCTCGGACTTTGATCTTAGCAAGTATTGTACCAAAAACTATGTATGAAATATGAAGCATATATTAATCTATTTGAACTTGTCAAGCAAATGTGTGAACTATATGCTTGAATGGAAGTATCATGTAAACCTATAAACTGTTATAAACAAGATTGTTATTTAATATTGTATTCTAAATGACTAAGAAAAACATCCCAAACTTACCATTTCCTGCTAATTATTATAGGACGTCAGTTATGCCACCAAGAAGAATAATCACCCAGTCAAATCCAGGAGAGATGCCAACTCCGAGACTAAAGAGCTAAGGACCCAAAAGAGGTTGGACAAAGCAAGTGGTAAACCTAGAAACATAAACACCACTAGTATAGGAGGATCAATATCTTCCAATGTGTAACCTATACCAACGACTGGAGGACCCAAAAAAGGTCGGCCAAAGCAAGTGGTAAACCCATAAATAGAAACAACACCAGTACAGGAGGATTAAGATCCGCCAATACCTAACCTAGACCTACCAAAAACCATCTAGGAATTGGAGCAATTAATTTCAGAACGAACGATGATTTCACTAAGCAACATAAGATTAGTTATGACATCCCCAAGTCTACGGCCATTTTAAAACATTTTGTTTATGCTTTATTTGAAACAAAGTTTATTTATAATTATGGAATTTGGTCCCGTAAAAGTATTTATAATTATGGAATTTGGTCGTGTAAAAGTATTTATAATTATGGAATGGGCCTTATAGTATCTTAGACTAACAATCCACATCTCCTTGAATCTCTTATCATTAATGTAACTTTATACCATTACCTGTGATACAAAGAAGCTGAGTAGGTCAGGTTGGGAAACTTGGTGAGTATATAGGTTTTTGAACCCACAGAAATAAATTCAGTATGTTTAATTATAAGAAAATTGACCCGATTACCCACCTCAATTTTCTTATTTATTGTTCCCTAAGGATCATCCTATCCTAAGGGTTATCTTAGTCATTGATATGTGCATATTTAGTTTGTATTAAGTATAGATTTTTATTCATTTATTAGCTAAATTATTGCATATTATGGACAAAAGGTACTTAAAAGTGTTTAAATTGCATTTTCAGTCCGAAGATGAAGCTTGGAAGTGGGAGAAGCGGTTAGGAGCTCGAGAATGGAATAAAGAAGAAAAACACTAAAAAAGGCACTTACTCGGCGAGTCAGATAGACTACTCGGCGAGTCCAATCGAAGAAATCGAGAAGATAACGACTCGGGATTCCAGAGAGTTATCGCAATACAGGGAATGTGAGAGGGACTCGATGAGTCACCACTTGACTCGACGAGTCGATTCGTTTATTTAAAGATAATTCCACAGATCGATTGAAGAGAGTTCTGGGATAATTCAGAAGTACTTTGCTATGATTGAGAAGCCAGAAAAACCCTAGAAGACAACGAAGGAAGCTAGAATTCAATTCCAGAGAGTAATTAAGGCAAAATTTCATCATTCCACTTATTCTTTTGTTTTATCATTATGATTAAGCAACTTGACTTTGTTTGTTTGCTGTTATTTACTTTAATTATGAACTAAAACCTTTAGACTTCTGTTTGGGGATACAAAGTTGACAATATGGTTTGATTGATTGGTAGGATTAATTCCAAGTTGGTGAATTTTTGTTATTTTAGCTTGCTAAAGAACCTTGTGTGTGAATAATAATTAACTTTCTATTAATAGGAAGATAATTGATTAGCATGAACATCTATTGATTATTGACCTCATATGATATGTGACCACTATACTATATGTCTAGGATTAATGAATATGAAACTAGAATTAATAAGAAAATTGAGTAAATTCATGTGCAAGCTTGTAAGATGACCATCAAACAAGAAGTTAATTAAAATAATAAATTAGTTAACTACTGCAAGTCTAACTTAACCCGAATAATTAATCTAGTGAATATAATTGAATTAGACAATTGGCCACTGTTTAAGTTAGTTTATTTGCTAAGGATTAGGGTAGTGAACACAAATCTAATCACTTGAATCGGTAACCAACGAAAGAATTAATCCATTGCACTATTACCTTGAAATTAACCATAGAGTTAACCAAGTTGAACTAAACAGAAGTTCCTTTCCAATTATTGAATCTAGTTAAGTCGTTATTTTCTAGTCTCAAATTAGTAATAGTTAGTAAGTTTCTAGTCTTGTAAAACTAGAGAAAAACCCCTACTTCTTAATTAACTTAGATAGAATTAGTTTTTAATTTAATTTGCCGTTCCCTGTGTTCAATACCCTGCTTATTTAGCTATACCACAATTGATAGGTTCACTGCCTTTTGTGTGTTATTTGATAATTA